TATATATACAGTATATATATGGTGATAGCGTTGGCGCTAACACTAAAACTAACAGGCTAGGCTGAGGTTCTTCTTCCATGAAGATTAAACCATTAAACTTTTAATTTAAAAATGATAAAAACTAAATATCCTACAGTCTTTTTACAGTCTTTATCTTACAGTTAAAATATATGTTTATCAAATAAAGTCTAATGTTACAACTAATCGGGGATCCCTTTCAGATCAATTTTAAAAGAATAACAAGAAAATCTGCTTGGAAGTAAAATGTAAAGAAGAATGACCCAAGACTTTTTTCTTTTTTCCCATCCTTACAACATGACTCTTACAAAGTTCTTGTTTTTTTAAACCAAGCAGCGATTTCCCACGGAGGACCATCTGATGATTCATCGACACAAACATGAGATGACCCTTAAGTTCCCTGCAATAAAAAATGACAACATGTTATCCGGTGAGTTCTGCCAGCAAAAATACAGACGCTTTACTAGATCAGAGCAGTTTTTTTTTCTTGCAGATGCGTGCCGAGGTGACTCAAATACTCTGTCATTAAAAACCTTTATGGCAAGTCCTACACAAGCTGTGTACAGTAATGTAAATCACAAGGCTGGTTAGCCTTCGGCTCAGTTCCTCTCAGTATAGCAGCTGTGCACACTTTATGCTGACATACAGGTGGACAAATCAGCTTTTTCTGCTACGTTTCTATATTCTCTAGTGTTTTGGCTGATGAGCATATTTAAAACATTTAAGATGACATTAACAGGTGGCACCTATAAGAGTTGAGCGAGGGAGAATCTCCACATTAATCTGGAGTCAAGTGTCAAGCCAAGCTAATCCATAAGTATAGATCTCCTTTCCTAGAAGCAGCTCTGCTTGGACTCTACAGCAAACCGCAACAGCCAACAGAGATTAGGTTCTCTTTATTATAAAAACTGTTGGGACAACAGGACTGTGTGCCTTTAAAGTGAAAATAAGTAAAACTGTCTTTTGGATAAACCATTTATGGTAAAAGTTTGAATAAGTATCCAATAGGTCCAGAAGGAATAAACACACCAAGAAATATTCATTTAACCTTTAAAACAGCTGGTTATAAAAAAAATTACCTTCAACTGTCTGAAACCTGATCTGTGGGCAACCCCCTCCCCCATGATGTTAGGTTGAATACTGCAGCTGGAGCTCAACAAATGAGACCCCCACTCAGTAGGAAAAATCTGCTCTTTGTCAGCAAAAAAATGAGGCTGTCAAAAGAGCATGAAACGTGACAGTAATGTACATTTGGTATTTTTAGGTGGATCTTGAATAATTTGGATAAAGTGTTGGTTTATCCATGATTTATATAAACAAAATGGCTAAATAATCTTTCTTTGTTGTTGACATTGCGTATGAGTCACTGTAGTGTGTTAGCTTACTGCATAATGTTCTTTTTTGTGCTACCATTCCATCAGCTGTGACTTACAGATAGAATTTGCTAAGGTATATTTGACGTTTTTCAAAATAATGAAAATAGAAATGAGTTTTAATGCAGTGTGTGGAACGTTTTCATCGTGAATGTTAGGGCTGTGTATTGGCAAGAATTTGGCGATACGATACATATCATAACAGAGGGGTCACAATACGATATATCCCGATATATTACGATACTGTAAGCTAGGCAATATATTGCGATATATTGTGATTTTTTTGTCCAAAAATTCTATTAAACAAAAACCTCTTACTGAAATAAAAAAAGAAAAGCTAATGTTTACTTACAATGCTAATGCTACCCTTACTCTCTGGYGCTCAAGAGGTAGAGGAGCCAAATGGCTGGCTCACTGCTGCCAACTAGTGGTCAGGGGCTGAACTACAACATAAAAATGAACGGTTGGCAAGAAGGTTGACATTTTAAACCTTAATTAAAAATCGATACAGGGCTTTAGAATATGATACAGTATCGGGAAATGAAATATCGCGATATTTCAGTATATCGATGTTCTCTTACACCCCTAGTGAATGTTTTTTTATTCTTTGCAAATTGACTGTACAAATAGCCTAACGAAATAAAAAAATTGACAATTAATATTATTATTGTTTTTTTTTTTTTATTTCAGACCAGACTCCCACTCCTACTCGTTTTTTGAAGAACTGCGAAGAGGTGGGCTTGTTTAGTGAACTGGATTGCTCGATTGAGCAAGAATTTTGCAAGGCCCAAGAAGAGGAGGACAGTAAACAGGTACTGCAAATAATAAAGCCTCAGATTAAAACGAAAGGACAAAAAAACAATAAAAATAAAACTCAGAAAAACTCAAAGCCACAGCCATCAACAGGTGTTAAGTCACAAACCACTATCTACTCCCGTCATTCGTCAAGTCACAAATAGCTGCCCAAACTCTGTGAACTGATAAAGTACTAAGTAGATCAGAATCACCCCATAACCACAAAGCTGGCTTTTTTTAAAAGCCAAAAGCCGCAAGTGTTTTTACACTCTATCATCATATTCTATATTGTCCCTCTGTTGGTTTCAAAGGATGCCCATGTGATACGCATCAACTTTTCATTGTGCCCGAGATGCAGCACTTTATTTAGCCCTGTTTTGTCTCGTCAGTCGTGACAGACAGGGATGGTAGATGTCATCCGCTGCTGGTAAAGAGAACAGATCAGGTTCATCACCTGTAACTTCAAACAGCGTTTCAAGGAGGGAGTCATATTTCTTCCAAGAAATAAAGCCAGACCCCTGAGACAACATTTTGGCAGCGATAGCACAAACCAGACAGACCAGTCAAACACGTAGAGAGGAGAGTCCAGAAAAAAAAAAACATTTGTCAAAGAACGTAATCATTTATGCATTATGGATCTGCCCTGAGGCACTTTTCACCTGAGACATGGGTACTAGTCAAATCACCACAAGACAGACTGCTTATTTAATGTCTGGGAAGATATGCAGTGCACGCTGCAGCTAAGCCGTTGTCTCTGAGGATTGTCTCTGGAGCTCGTCTGTGCTCAGGTCAGCCATGTCTCCCCTGCCCAGCCTGTGTGGTTTACGATGGGAGGCACTGCTAAGTCAGCAGGAGGCGAGTCAGAGCAAGACACTGTGGGAGTGTAACACACAATAGACCGAGATAAGCATCAAAAGTACTAAAAAGTTGTGGATGTTTGACATTGTCCAGTAAAAATGTACTGCACAACTGCATTTTGCTTGCAAAAATTTTTTTAATGCATTCCTGTAATGTTTCCTTTCTAGACCTTGCTACAAAAGAACACCTTCAAGAGATAAAAAGAAACTCCGCTATTACAAAGAGAGCAGTTTGTTTTGGAACATATATTATTGTAGACGACTAAGTCAAAAAGAGAACTTCAGGAAATCTGGTTTTCATTAGAAGCTAAGTATGTCCCAAACGAAACACAGTAAGGCTCGTTGATGATAGTTTACATAATTCCTCAAGCTGCATGTATGTAGGGCTGGGCGGTATGACCTCAAATTCATATCACGGTATAAATTGACCCCTTCACGGTAACGGTATATATCACGGTAGAAAATTGTCATAAAAAGTAAAGATAATGTAAATTTTAGAGCATTTGTTTTGCAGAAAACTGTAATCTTAATTAAACCCAATGTTTTTGCTTTAATATCTACAGTACCTGCCAAACAATGAGCTTCTCCCTGCTGAATTTATCAGCTGCTGCTCTGCTGCGCGCTCATCTTCATGATCAGAGCAGAAGCCGACTTTACGTTAGTAAGATGGATTTACGACTGAACGAACGTCCACGTCTTTTTTAAAAAATAATCTCTGTGGGTAACAATACATAAAAAAAATATTTTTTCCCGACAATTGGGTGTGAAAAACTACAGTTGTTAAAGCTTCGCTCCGCGCGACATGCAGTGGGAGGGAGGGAGGAAATGATCCCGCGACACAACGTAACTTTTCTACAGCGGGAGCAGGAAATTTTTTAGGATTTATCCTCTCTATACTTGTTTTAAAACGCTAGAATTTCTTCATTATATTTCGAACTCCTGCTCAGTTGTCTCTGCACTCGCAGCCCTGTTGACACAGGTGTGATGACGTAATGACGATAGGACGGTAGAGGGCAAATTTCTACCATGGGCCAACTTCATACCGTTTCTACCATGTACCGCATATACCGCGCTGCCCTACATATATATGAGACCAAAGACCCACCATTTCGCTCACATTGTGATTCTGTCCTCACTATTCTAACCTGACCTATGCCGTTTGCTTGTTTTCACTTTTGTTCTCTGCAGAACATCTCGCTGCACGGCCAGTCAGCTCAGGGTCAGCACCAGCAGCCCCTCTCTCGGATGGCCAACCATGATACCAGCATAGTGATCCAGCAAGCCCTGCCATCTCCTCAGTCCAGCTCCGTCATCACTCAGGCTCCTTCCACGAACAGACAGATAGGGTGAGTGAGCCAAAAAACCCACGCAAAAATCCAGTTAAGCCATGCAACAGCTAGAAAAGAAGGAATGCACAGTGACTCTTTTTTTCTCTTATATAAATGTCTGTTTTGTCAACATATGACATTGCTGAGAATTGCTGACAGACTGAAAATTATCTGACAAGTGGCAGATTGCGTCCTCTCACCTCCAGCGTGACTTTGTCACAGTGACAGCTTCAGGCTGAGTCTAGGCCCTTTGTGTTCGTGCCAGCTGTCGTCCCTTTCGCAGTCTCTGAGGTAATCTCAGTGTTTAGTTACATTCAGAGGCGGTGTATGTGGGGCCGGCAATTCATGTTTTGCTGTTCATTCAGTATTGTCCCACAAGCAGAGTATGCCAAAGAGAGTCCCAGAGGACTAGATGAGGTCATTGTTGAAGCCTCAGCCGTGACTGCTTTTACAAGAGTTTAGCGTTTCGTGCTCTAAAATAGTTCTTTTGAGTGTATGGGAATGTCAGCCACCTCAGGGCTCTGTTTCTTTGATAGGGCTGCAGATGCTAATGCTAACCGTGTGGTATGCTGTTTCATCAGCTAGCTCAGAGTTTAGGGTTGGAGTGGTGTTAGCAAGATTAGCAAAAAGTAGTATATGCAAGTATCCATTAAGTATACCAATTTCAAACTTAAAATAAAAAAATATACTTCCAGTTTACTTTTTATGTATTTATTTGAGGTATACTTAACCAAGTTTATATTACACTATACTTGGCTTGTACTAAAAGTATACTAAAAGTTTAAGTATACTTAATTTATATTAATGTTTAAACTTTTGGTCAAGATAAACTTTAGTAGTACATTTTTTACACAGACTGGTTTATTTGTAGTATATTTCAAGATTAAACTAAAACTATACTTAGATTACTTTCAGTATATTTCTGAGTATACTGTCAAACTTTTTGTGGGCCAATTTAGTCATACTTGTTAGTAAACTGTTAGTACACTTGTATACATACATACATACATACATGTATGTAT